TATATGTAATTTGCCCTAATTAATAATACATAAAAATATATTACATTTAGTTTATTATATGATGTGTCATCATTATATTGGTAATAGACATGAGTGGTGTGTTCTATTTAACCAATGTAATTATGATAATTGAGATAGTAAATATAGTGTAGTATACAAATATAATCATTATAGTATTATTCTTAAAAAATTATTTACAAATAAATAAAAAAAATATTATATTTACCTTTAATAACCTTAAATAGAAGAAAGGGGCCAATTACATTGCAATCTAAACTCTGCCAAATTATTTATATATACACACAAATGGTTCATCAGAATGTGGGAGGGACCATAACCACCCCAAGCCAAGCCATGGCTCCATCCCTGCACCAACTTTCTGTTCATTCCTTTCAAATTCTAACCCTTCTTGGCCTTTCCCTCGACCTTCCCTCTTTGCTATCTACTGCTCATCCACTTTCCTTCCTCTCAAACCCTAACCCTTCCTCGCCCTCCTCTTCTATCTCTGCTACTTGTCACCCCTCTCATTCCCTCTCTTTCAAACCTTAACCCTCTCCAGCCCCTCATCGCCTCTTATTGGATTTGAGTCCGGATCCTCCCCAGCCAACCTCTTCAGCCATTCCTCCTGTCAAGCGCTAGGATTTGGCCACGTCACTTTGGCCAAAGTCTACGGCTCAGATCAGATGCTTGGTAATAATAATTTAAAAAAAAAAATTTGAATTTTTTTTCATTCAACACATCAACAGAGCTTCCCTCTTATTTAGCTTCCCTCCCATTCACTTTTTCCCTCCCTTTTTGAAGCTCTGGCGGCGAATAGAAGTCGGCGACGTCAAACATCAACGGTCTGTCCCTCTCTCACTCTTATTATCTTGTTGAAAAATTCAAACATGAGCAATTGGGTATGTTCAAGTATAATTTTACACTAATTTTTGTTCATTTTTCAAGAACCCAACAAAATGGAGAGAGATTAAGAGAGAGAGAGAGGGAGAGAGAGAGAGAGAGAGAGAGAGAGAGAGAGAGAGCAATGCTATAGTAAAATTTTGAGTGTTGGATTTGAACTTGAGAAAGATTAATTGTAGATGATGGTAACAAACAGAAAGCAATAACATCATATGTCCATGAAAATTTCAAGCGTCATACCTGAATTCTTGTTCAATCCAATTCTCTATCCTTTGCGTTGGAGCGCGAAGTATCAAATTAAAGAAATGACCCATTTTTGACTCAGATTTGGTGAAACATTTGGTACACCGTTGGAGATGCTCTAACTGAGTCCGAATCCTCTCTAGCCATTCCTCCTGTCAAGGGCTAGGATTTGGCCACGTCACTTTGGCCAAAGTCTACGGCTCAGATCAGATGCTTGGTAATAATAATTAAAAAAAAAAATTGAATTTTTTTTCATTCAACACATCAACAGAGCTTCCCTCTCATTTAGCTTCCCTCTCATTCACTTTTTCCCTCCCTTTTTGAAGCTCTGGGGCGAATCGAAGTCGGCGACGTCGAACATCAACGGTCTGTCCCTCTCTCCCTCTTATTATCTTGTTGAAAAATTCAAACATGAGCAATTGGGTATGTTCAAGTATAATTTTACACTAATTTTTGTTCATTTTTCAAGAACCCAACAAAATGGAGAGAGAGAGAGGGAGAGAGAGAGAGAGAGCAATGCTATAGTAAAATTTTGAGTGTTGGATTTGAACTTGAGAAAGATTAATTGTAGATGATGGTAACAAACAGAAAGCAATAACATCATATGTCCATGAAAATTTCAAGCGTCATACCTGAATTCTTGTTCAACCCAATTCTCTATCCTTTGGCATCTACTTGAAAACCAAGTCAAAGAAAAGCCAAGAAACCAAGAGAAATTGAGAGACCCATATGAGAAAATGATGGAAAAACAAGAATTGGCCAAAACCCATTAACATTTACGAGGAAAAAAGTTCAGATCCAACAGAGAAAATAGCAAAATAGTAGGTGAATTTTGACTTTCTCTTTCCGGAACAAAGAGGGAGAGAGAGAGAGAGTTGGGTGTTGGTTAGGAGTCCGAATCTGAGCCGTAGACTTTGGCTAAAGTGATGTGGCCAACTCCTAGCCATAGACAGGAGGAATGGCTGGAGAGGTTGGCTGGAGAGGATCCGATCTCGAAAAAGTTTGGGTGGTAGTGGAAGCTAATATGTTAGCGATAAGGAGAAAAAGTGATGGCTGATTGTAGATTTAAAGTTTTTGGGTTTTATTCTTATTGATAATTTGACTTAAAAAATGACATTAAGAAAAATCATAAATACAAAGTGCCCAATAATATATTTTTAGAGTGTATTTAGATATTGCTGCTGCAATTCTCTTATTTTATTAAATTTATACCCTCTCCCGAGTGTAATGCAAAATACTAAAATTTTGGTGGGTAAAGCATTATCATTTCAGGATGCTCTCCTTCTCACGAATCCACTAAAGATTGTTGCATAGGATAGCATTAATTAAGACAATGAAAGGAAAAAAACCAATCGATCCATAAAAAATTTCCTTGTATTGTAGTTGAGGGATGATAGAGAAATAGGACTTGCCTGCAACACGGTACGGCCGTGTCAAATGCATACCCGTCGTGAACGCGTATGACTTTTCTGGCCATGTCAAAAATAAATATTCCTTTCATATCAAAATATTTATTTTTTATTTTATTTTTATTATGTTAAAATATTAATTATTTTTTAAAAATCAAGAAGTAAAATAATATGAATTTGTTATTTTATCCATCTTTTAAATTTATTAATAATATAAAAAATATAATTATGACAATTGATATTTCTCAAAACATGTAATTCAAAAGGTAATTTTAAAAAATTATTTTTTTTAAAGAGCAATTAGTATATTATTAAAAAAAAGTTAGACTTTTCAAAAAAAAAAAGATTATTATTTTGGAATGAATGGAGTATAATTTGCTGTTTCTGGAAAAAAGAACCAACAAAGAGAATGAAATAATCACACTTCTCAGAAAAGATTATTAGTCTACTTTATTCCAAACCATCAATAGAATTAATATATTTGTATATGTGATTTATTTAATTTGATTATATCTAGATGCATAATAATATTTTTCAAACAATTAGCCTTGCTTGTCATTTTCTAAAAAACTTCAAATGTCAAAAAGTCACTATCATATTTAAATCATATCATCTTATTTAAGTCACATCACTTCTCTACCGTATCACTTCAAACTCAACGTATATCCAACTCATATTTCATAAAAAGTCAAAAAATTACATTTATTTAGAACATTCCAAACAACTCTTTAATTGCATTTTGTTGAATGATATTAAAATATTTGTCACTTTACTATGGGGTGTTTGGCAATAGGTTTTTAAATTTTTTTAGATTCAAATAGCATTAAAAGACAAAATAAGCTAAAATAATTAATAAGATAAAAAGGCATATTATGTTTATAATCATTTCACTTTTTCTCTCACAAATATCACATCTAACTACAAAAAAATTCACTATCTTCCCAAATACAATTATTTTAACCTATTAAAATAATCAAAAACTAAAATAATCTATTAAAATAACCAATTTTCCAAACATTCCATATAAGACAAAATGAATTAATTTATTCAATCAATGTGTTAACAAAAGTGATATTCTAAAAAAAAATATTAATTTTATTAACAGATAAAATGAACTAATTTATTCAATCAATGTGTTAACAAAAGTGATATTCTAAAAAAAAATATTAATTTTATTAACAGATAAAATGAACTTATTTAAAGGGTATTTATTGAAATTAATATTTTAATAACTAGATTGACACAAAACAATTTGGGAGAATGAAATAAAGTTGTTAGGACTTGTTTGATAATTATTTCGTTTCCAGTTTTCAATTTATATTTATAAAGTTTTTAAAAATTATCATAAAAATTTGTTTGATAATTTTTTTGATTTATAAATGGTTGTCTAAGTTTGTAAATTTAAAAAAAAAAACGTAAACTCAAAAAATGAGTTTATGTTGGTTTTTAAACAGAAATTTAAAAATTTGACAAACAAATTATTATTTTCAATTATAATGTGTATGATTTCATTGTTATAAATAATAAAAAATAAATATAAATATTTTAGGCCTCAATAAACATATTTTTTAATTTATATTTTTAAATTTTTTTAAATATTTTATTTAAACCAAATACATTTATAATTTATATTTCTTAAAAATAAACAAAAGTTAATTTATAAAATTTTTATAAATATAAAAATATATATATATTTGTGTGTTTTGGATTTTAATTTTTTTATTTATTTTGAATCACATCATCTTCCATAATTTTTATTTATAAAAAAAAATTAACTTTTTACTGGCTTCTTAAAACACGACTCTAAGACCATCTCCAACCCTTCACCAAACCTAGCATCAAATTTGAAATTTAGTGAAAAAAGCACTATTTGGAGCTCCAACGATTTTACCAAATTGGTATCAAATCGAAAATTCACCAAATGTTTCACCAAAAGGAGAACAGGCTTCGCATTTTACCAAAACACTGTGCATAACCGTTAGGGGAGACCAACCGGTAAAAAAGTTCAAATAGTTGAAAAAACTGTATTTTTTTTTTTGCCTTATCGGTCGACCAGCGGGTTGACCGGCCGATCGACCAACCGGTCGACCACTAAAAGATTCAAACAGTTCAAAAAAAAAAAAAAATTTTTGGCTTAACCGGTCGACCAACCGGTTATTCCGACACAGATTTAATGAAAATTTGATGAAAATCAACCATTGAAACACTCGATATCAAATTAAAAAAAAAATTATTTTTTTATTTAAATTTTGTGAAAATTTTGATTCATGCTCTATTAAATTCAGCATTGAAATTGCACAAGGGTCTTGAGTCGTACTTAACGGCGGCGTCAATAACCTTGTTCGGTAATCTCGATAGAGATGAGATCAGACCCGTCCGATCCGGTTGGACCGTCGAAGCCGTTTAATACATTTCAACGTTCGCCTCCTCCTGGTCAATAATAAATTGCATTTCCAGGACTCATCTTTCTTTCCATTTCTCTCTCTCTCCCCCTAAATTGCCCCTTCTTTCTCTCTCTAAAAAGCAACCTCCTGAACTTCGATCAGTACGATCTGTTTCCCCAAATTCTTCGATTTCGATACATTGATCAGTTGAAGAAGAAGATTGAAAGAGTAAATCAAGAGTTTGATTCGCCATGTCGATGTCTGATTCAGATTCTTCGTCTCAGGGCAGCGAGTACAAGAACTTCAGGCAACTTACCCGCGAACGTTAGTCCTTCTCTCTCTCCTTACTCTTTACTGTTGTATATGTTTCTTTTTCAACTATGGCTTTAATTCCAACAAACTTGTGATCATCTGTTATAGCCACCTGTTTTGATTGGGGAAAAGTTAATTCAATTTTGTCTTCACGAATTTGTATTAGTTTTTCTTAATTCGATTAGCTGTTTGTTTTAGCCACCACCAATTCACTTTAATTCAGTTGATTGTTTAGCTTACGGTATGATTGTTTCAAGATAGAATATTTTTTAGTTTTTGTAATTAAAATGGTGTTTTTCATCTTATATTTTTTTCTGGTATTTTGGCTAAATTTTCGTAGAAAATGTTTGAAAAAAAAGAAGAAGAAGAAGCATACTTTACAATCTCGAATTCTCGTGCAAAAAGAAATCAAATTCAGAGAATGAAACTATACAATCTAACACATGTGATTCTAACTAAACAAGCAATGATAATCACTTTGAGTGAGTCAAAACCTGAAAGTGAAGCGTTTTACGATGTCCAGAGAGATATATGAATATCCATTGGGTTTGGAGAATACAAAGGGTTAATTTTTTTTCTTCAAAATAGATTGGTGTGTTCTAATTATTTTGGAAAACAACTTATGGAAGGTTGGTCCATAAGTAGTTTTATGTTGCTGGGGTAAAATGTGATTTACAAAATAAAAGTTTTATGGAGCTTAATGTGCAACCAAACTTCATAAAATGTGAAAATATTTTTAGGGAATTCTGTTTACACCGGAAAAAAGAGAGTTTTAATTTGCTTGTTTTGTAAGGTTTTAAGAACTCTATCTCCCCCCCTCTCTCACACAGACACACACATATTGATGTATACATCTTGATTTATTGTCACTGCCTTTATACAAAATTGTAGTTGGTTGGGTCAAGGTAGAGGCTTGAAACCATGTGATTTTGTACTATGGATGTAGCCTTTAATTCGTGACTTAAGAAATCAACTGATGCAATTTATTAATAAAAATGGACACAAAATTTTCTTAAGACGAGAGCTTAGTTGTCAAAATTGCCTACTGGCTTGAGAATTGTGATTTTATTATTAAGAACAAGAATCGAGTTAAAATCACATCCTATAATTGCAGTTCTAACTGGGGTAGGACCACTCAAATATGTGAATATTAAATAAATCAAACAGAAGCTACCAAGGTACAAAAAAAAGAAAAAAGAAAAAATGTTGAGAACTTGTATAGTATTTGCAGTTAAGAAGAATGATTATATCAATGTAAACCAAATTAAACCAAACCAAACTAAGCTTTGTATCCTAGTAAGGTGAGATTGGTTATATAGATAATTTTTTGTCATTCCGTTTTGTTAAGTTTTATATGCTCAGTTAAATTATGCTTTGTCCCCCTAGCTCGGATAAGAAAGAGGATTGTGTGTTAGGTAGTCTGGCAATTAACACATAAAAATTCCCATTAGATCTCTTGTGAACATAAATTCTAATATGAATAAAATGAAGAACAAATCGAAAAAGGGACAATAACATGTACTAGACTTCGTTACTATGCTTATATTTAACAATTTAAGTGATAGTGTACTGTTGACATTTAATATATATATATATATAACAACTAAATAAAATAAATATTCTTACAATATATTTATATATAACTTACATAACCGTTTCCCTAGGCATTCTCAACTTTTAGATCTTCTATGTGTGCAACTGAGGATGAGAGCAATTATTATTGGTTGGAGCACAACTGAGGTTTTGTGTCCAAATACCTAGTGCATGTTGGACAGTACTATAAAGCTAGGAACAATGATAATAAGGTTGGTTTCATGTATGGTGTATTTAAGAAAAGCTTGTAGGTGTAGGGCTTTACTATGTAGAAGAAGTAACATTGTAGGCTTTCATAGAAGGTTAAGTGTTTGAATTGGATTGGTTTTGGAGGTGTTCGGTTGTGGGAAATTTAGGAATATATTGCTGGAATGGCTGGATAGCAGCTAATAAGAGGTTTTGGGTGTTAGGCAAAAAGCCCTGTAGGCTGTAGGGTTTGGAGACAAGCTTTTAATTCGCACTTGCCATTATGTTGCGAGTGTGATTAATATTTATAATTGTGCATGCCTCCATATCTCATTTTTATCACCTATGAGGAACCTAAAGTTCGTTGATGCAGACTGATTTATTCTGTTTTTTCTTGTTTGATATCACTAGAAACTGTGCATGGTACATTGCTTATCTATTTAATAACTTTTTAATTTATATTAACAGGGTTATTGTATGAAATGCTTAGATCAACGAAAACTGGGGGCTCGAAATCAACGTGGAAGGTATCAGCAACTTGTTCTAAAATGTCATTTGCAATTTGAAGACTATTGTTTTGCTGATTATTTCAAACGTTTTGTGGATATTTTCCATGCCAACTACATTTTGAATCATAGAATTGTTATTTCTAGTCATAGTACCTGCAAATTACTTCCAAATCAATACCATTTAGTTTTCTTTTGTGCTTTGTCAACTGTTGCATTAGGTTTCATAATATAAGCATTGGACTATCTACTTCTATTGTTTCTGTTCTGCATTCAAGTTTCCCACGGGGCCGCATATAATTTTTCTTTCCTTTTCCCCCTCCCCCCATTTGTAGTAACCCATGTGCAGAATAGAGAACTGGTACTCTTCTTAGTTAATGCAGTGACTTTTTTCCCTGCTCCTCTATGTCTTTCATAATTTCTTCTTGCTCAATATTATTTTCTCTCTTGTGATTTTTGCTCAATAGTGCTCTCTGTAATACTTAAAAATTATTGCCCTCTATTTACTTCAAGCTTACATATTTCAGACCTGTCAGTTAGCTGACACTCTTACCTGTAGGTGCTCATCATGGACAAAGTGACTGTCAAAATAATGTCTTGCTCATGCAAGATGGCAGATATCACAGAGGAAGGAGTTTCATGTAAGACATAAGAAGGCTAGTCTCGATAAATTTTGAATTCCTTCGTCTCTATAGTTGCTTAGATGTTTCTGCCAAATTCATGCATGTTGTTTTTTTTTTTTTGGGTGAATATTCATGCATGTTGTTGGCTTTGCGCATAAGTTCATATTTTCATCATGTCCATGCTCTTGGCCAGGTTCCACATTTTGCCCTTTTTTTTGTTGTGTTCTTGTCTATGTTAATAGCTGTTGTAGGCCTGTTGCATGAGTTAATGCTTTAAAATACTTCATATTAAGAGCATGCAGTGACCACTTTTCTATTTATTTTTTATATGTTCTAGTTTTTCTAATTTGTTGCAATGTGATTGATGTTATTTAGAGAATGCTGGTGTCATTTACAGAAGCGCTGTTCCTAAATGGTTTGAATGTTGAACATTTTGTCATCTGTGTTGCAATGTATTTGGTCGGTCTTGATTATGGCAATTAATGCTGAATCTTACAAACCAGTCATAGACGTTGAATTCTAGTCTCGAGGAATCTGGGCCGGTCTTATGTAATTAAGATGCTGTCTGGTTGACAGAAAAACTTCATTACTATCTTCATATGAACTGGAGGGCATGCGCACACGCGATGCGTGTGCAATATTATATTTATATTAACATTTACAAAAAAAAAAATAAACCATAATATCTACAAAGAACCCAGAAGAAGAAGAAAATAAATAAATAATAAACAACCACTTTGTAAGACTAAAGAGAGAATGTGTATGTGAAACAATAAAAAAATAGTTTAAAAAATGCAGAAATAGAAAAGTAGAAAGAGAGTATGTGTATGCAAATGACCTGTTAATCACCATTATTATTTATTAAAATCATTCTGTTTTAATAATACAAACAACAAAAACTGCCTAGTTTCGGACAATTTGATCTCACATCTGAATTTGGGAAATTAATTTACCTTTTGGTAAAAATTCCTTTCTGTTTTCTCCTTATGATGGCTTGATGCAGAAGTTAGCAGACGTGCAAAGGTGACAAGTTTTGAATAATAGACAATGGCTTGTGGGATGTGAAAAACTAGCTACACTGACATATTTTCCTCCTCTTGTTATTGGAATGTTGGTATTGTTTTAAGTAGTTGTCATTTCTATTTTTTCTGCAGTGGTGGAAGATATATACAGGCGAAGGCAGCCATTGCCCACCATGGATGCCATATACTACATCCAGCCAACCAAAGAAAAGTAAATAGTTTCTGTTTTTATGTTCTGCTGCATATGGTATTGATTTTTGTACTTAATTTCATTCAGTCTGTTGGATTTAGTTGGTAAACAATAGTTTCAGTGATTTAAACATTCACTGCTATATTGGTTCTGAGAAAGAAATGCTCCGTTTTGATAGTTGTGTATAAATTCATCTTTCAACTAAATACTGGTTACTTTGACTTGTATAGATTTTTTAAAAACTGAATTCATTTATGGATATGAATCTGATTATGCTGTGTTCTCCCTGTGATTTTGGCAAATCGCAGTTTTTGGTATTTTGATTTCCCAATTTGGTGTTTTTACTACATTTTTGTAGCTATTTTAGATTTATTATTATTAGTATTTTTTTTATTAGTCAAATATTCGTATGTTAGTGACATTTCTGTAAATTTATTCTCCTTTGTTTTTATCATGGTTTTTGGATGGTAACACCCACCCACCATCTCTCTCTCATGCTTTTTTTATTGACATGCAGTGTTATTATGTTTCTGTCGGACATGTCTGGAAGAGCACCTCTATATAAAAAGTATGTTAAGCATTTTATTTTTTTTTAAATTTGATATTGTTTGTGCAATTTAATTTCTTGGAAGTTGTAATTTTCTTGATGATTTTTATTCCCTTGTTCCCCCCCCCCCCCCCCCCCCCCCCCCCTTCTTCTTGCTGTTCTGTTTCTAGGGCTTTCGTTTTTTTCAGTTCATCTGTTCCACGAGAATTGGTTAATCAGATCAAGAGAGATGCAGCTGTGCTAGCTCGCATAGGTGCCTTGAGAGAGGTTATGATTTATTTGTTTTCTTCAAGATTGTTCTTGATTCTGTGATTTTAGTGAATCAAGTTGCATTTGTCAACTGTTTTTTAGTATATTTTTGCCATTCTTCTCATTTTGGTGGGAAATATGCAGATGAACTTGGAGTACTTTGCCATCGATAGTCAGGTACATTATGCTGATGCACTGAAATTTGTGTAAATTTTTAACAGTCTGATTTCATTTTAGCTAGAACTCCTAATCTTTTAGTTTCCGTAAATATGTTCCAAAAATTACTTAATAGAGAAGAAAGGGGAGAGAGAGAGAGAGAGAGAATAAATATGGTTTAGTCACTTTCGCATTGCATGTCTGTGTCCATACTTCCTAGCTTAAAACTTATTATTACCTTTCCTAGCACCAATAAATTCCTATTGAACTTTGTCAATTTTTAAAGCAAAACAAACTTCATAAAGAAGAAAGAGGTTAAAATATGTAGAGCCATGAATATGGGTTAGTCTTCCCATGTTACGAGTAACATGAGTTGTGCGGTTCCTCTATGCATCTCTGGGTAATGTTGCTCCCAAATTGTTTGCTTCTTCAGGGATTTCTCTGCAAGAAAAACCAAGAACTTATGAAACTCAAGATTTTTGAACAATTTTATCTCACTGTTATTCTTAATATTCAGCAATTTAATCCATGCATTCCTCCCCCCAACCTCCCCAAATAAGCCCGCCTACTGCCCAAAAAGGCAATTAGTATCATAATATGATCAAAAAAATATTATTGTATATCATGCTTCTTCTCAACTGTTGTTTTAACAATACAGGGATTTGTCACTGATAATGAGAGGGCTTTAGAGGAACTTTTTGGGGATGAGGAGAGTACTCGCAAAGGTGATGCGTGTTTGAGTGTGATGGCTACTCAGATTGCTACAGTTTTTGCTTCATTACGAGTATGTAATTTATGACTCTTAATTATTAATCTGCTTTGTATTAAACAATTCTTAAACATGCATGATCTTGTGTTTTTCAGGAGTTTCCTTTAGTACGCTATCGTGCAGCCAAATCCCTTGATCCAACCACAATGACAACATTTCGTGATCTAATTCCCACAAAGCTAGCTGCTGGTGTTTGGAATCATCTTATGAAATATAAAGCTAACCTCCCTAACTTCCCCCAGACAGAAACATGCGAGCTGCTTATCTTGGATAGATCTATAGATCAGGTTCTTGGATGCATGTGTCAGTTAAAATGTGCTTACTGCCTTGTCTACTTAGATTATAATTTATACTAAATATGCTTATTTTGCATTCCTAGATTGCTCCTGTGATACATGAATGGACATATGATGCCATTTGCCATGATTTATTAAATATGGAGGGAAATAAATATGTGCATGAGGTAAGTCCTGTGCTGAATTTTATTCTTTCTGTGAAATTGATGTTTAGTGTCCTTTGTCTACTGCATATCATAACCAGGCAAGTATACTTCTTAGGTCCCAGGCAAAGCAGGTAGTGCCCCTGAGAAAAAAGAAGTTCTTTTGGAGGATCATGATCCCATTTGGCTAGAGCTTCGACATGCACATATAGCAGATGTATGTCTCATTTGGATAATTTTTTAGGTTTGAATAGAAATATCATGGGAGCTCTTTGATCATTAACTTACTTGTCAGGCTAGTGAACGATTGCATGAGAAGATGACAAACTTTGTATCAAAGAATAAAGCTGCACAAATTCACCACGGTTCGAGGTCAGTTTAACTATTTTGACATCCTTTCATTATCAACCCAGTTGACATGCCATAAGACATTAGCGGCAGCCTATGTTGAATATTATTATCCCCCCCCCCGGGCTCAGCGTGATAGCATGTGGGACAAGAGGTTGTTCAATAAGGAAGACATGGTGTAGGTGGATTTTCTTGTCATGATCTTTTCTCCTTAGAAGACAGGTTCAAGTGGGTGTGTCCGCGGATATATGTCTACAATTCTTTTGGCCTTAGGAACTATAGCACGTGGGAATCCCACATTTCCTTGTATTGAATCCTGCAGCAATTTATTTCCGGCCTTCACATCTCATTATTTAAACTATTACCTTGCCTGCATAGATATTTTTGTGTCTAGTATGTTCATCCTGCTCTTGTTTGAACTTTTTTACCACAATGTGGAACCCCTGCTCAACCCAACACCCCCCACCAGACACAAACCCCTCATGGGACAGGTGATGCTCTACCTCTCACTTGTATTTAGCGACTTAGATGTTGTTGCAATGGGCTTATTTCAGGATTTCATTTATTTCTGTTCTTTTATTTTTTTATTTTTTTATATTGACCTGTTTTTGGTTCTCATGACTTAAGTTTGGTCACATGGAATTGATTTATGTTTGTGTCCTTATTTTGTAAAATTTTGTTTTAATAAAGTAATGAGTAATGTGCAAATGTAGATGTTGACTTTGGGACTTTGGAGCAATGTTTCTTTTTGTGCTTGCATTGCCCTGATTGGATGTGTTGATAACTTGATATTATGATATACTGTCATAATATTTCTCACTTGAAGGTTTTTTTTTTTATTTTTTTTATTTTTTAGAGATGGTAGTGAATTATCTACTCGTGATTTGCAAAAGATGGTGCAAGCATTGCCACAATATAGTGAACAAATGGACAAACTTTCTCTCCATGTAGATGTGAGTTCCCATGCATATAAGCATCATTTTTTTGGAAATTAATAGTAAGAAGTGGATTCTATTTCTCTTATGATCTAAATATCAGGCATGTTTACTAGCTAGCTAGTGACTTGGTCTACTCAATTTTTTAAACTAATTGCATTTTCATGGAGTTGCAAGTATGCATGTGTCTGGTGCAAGTATAAGTTATGGCATGGGACACAGTTTTTACTTGCTTTGACTTGCTCCTCCATAAATCGCAATTATTTTGAGTTGTTCTCATGCATTTGTTGGAAAATTTTCCTAGGAAACATGGCTTCATGCTAATATGTTTGTATTGATATAGATTGCTGGAAAAGTTAATAATATTATCAAGGAGATGGGGCTTAGAGATATTGGGCAACTAGAGCAGGACCTTGTCTTTGGAGATGCAGGAACCAAGGATGTAATTAACTTTTTGAGAACAAAACAGGTGAGAACTTGTAGTTATTGAAGAATAGATGTGAATAAAACCTTGAATATACGGATTCAAATAAATTACCTCTGTTATGCAGGATGTAACACGTGAAAATAAGTTGCGCTTGTTGATGATTTATGCAGCATGTCATCCAAAAAAGTTCGAGAGTGATAAAATCACAAAGTTGATGGAGGTAGGCCCCTTTCCTGTCACTATTTTCTACTTTTACTACCATCTCTTGTTTACTTTGAGCTTAGTGGAGCTACTACTGTTTCTTCCTTTCTCGAATGGCTATTAAAATAAGTGTCTTATCAAAATGACTTTGGGTCTAACACATGTATACAGTTCATCCATTACACTCAATTTGGAGCAGAGAACTACAATGTTTTTTTCTGGGGCAACTCTATGTACCATGCATTTGTGAACGGATGTAGTACACTTTTCAGTTCTCTTCTTGCTGAAGTTACATGGGTTTGCACTAAACATCAGGAACAACATTCTTGTGTTTATTTTGAGGGTTTGATATATCCATTAACTAAATACTATGGATGCACAAAGAAAATTTTACTTCTTTCTTTTTTTAAGGAACCTCTCCAAAGGAGGGCCACTTTGGACCCACTAGCAGGGTGTCCTCCGGATACCTGTAACCACCCATGAGCTATAGGGTATCAGGTAAGCCAGAGAGTCACCAACATGAGTTGAACACAAGACCTCCGAGTTTTACTTGGTCCCAATGATGACGTTTGAACCACTAGGCTACCTTGATGGGTTATTTTTGGCTTTTCTTTTCTGCATATATATATGTTTTCATTGTAGGAATCTTGTTTTGACATAGATCCACCCTGAACCAAAAATAAATGATTATAACTATTGCTAAACAAATATTGCTTTTGCATCCATTTATGCTTATGGCACATCAAGGTCTTTAGGAAGAAAAAACTGCAAACCCTTGCACTTTGATAAATTTTCATACTTCTTCAATTTATACACATCTGTATATAGAATCTTGATTTCTATTTTCTCTAATCCATATTCCATCCTCAAATTATTTAAACAAGTTGCATATTGTTTTATTAGAAGTTGTATACAGTAATTGTTTATGCACCTTGTTAAATGGGTGGCGGAACAGATGTGCAGTTTACACGTCATGAGGTGGAGCAGAAGTGGGGAATGGGTGAAACAGGGTTGGGGTGGGTATGGAAGGGATTCACTAGACAGGTTCAGGGGTGGGGTAGGGACCACCAATCCATACCTTACCCATTGCCATCCCTAGGAATAACTCCCGTTTAGCAATAACAACACTAGGTTGAATTTTGTAACTGTTTTGCAAAACAATTATCTGGGATGTCATTGGAATCTTAACTATTTTCACATGAAAAGGATTCATTGAAAAGGCTAACAAACCCCGAATTAAAGATTGAACATATTTACGTTTTAACAAATCAAGCTGGTTGCTGGTGCGTCTTAGAGTCATTTATACCCTGAGCAAAGCTGTTAATCAGGTTGGTTCAACCAGGCCAAGGTTACAATACCTTATGACCAAGCTTTACATACTTTCAACTATTTTTTTATTTTTCCTTTCAGTTAGCTAGACTGTCGCCTGAGGATATGAATGCTGTCAATAATATGAGATTGCTTGAGGCATCATCAGATACCAAGAAAAGTTCAATTGGAGCTTTTTCTCTGAAATTTGATGTTCATAAGGTAAATGAGCTTGGTTGTTTTAATTTTTTTCATGCTTCATGATTTCTTTCTGAAACATGTAGTCTCAGTTATTTTTTTCTCATCATTTTTTTTTTTTCAAATACTTCAGAAGAAGAATGCTGCTAGAAAAGATCGTGATGGTGAAGAAGTGAAGTGGCAGCTTTCACGCTTTTACCCCATGATAGAGGTAACATTCCAGTTAGATTTATTTGCTCCTGCTGGCAGGGCTGCTTTTGGAAAAATAGCCGTACTATATCATATTTTTGGTACTTCTGAGATAGTAATGAATATTCTGTTACTTCCTAACATATCCATGCTTGTACAATAGTATTTAATCTCCAACACCTATCCAATACTTATTAGATACTCCGGATACTTATCCAACGCATATTTGATGTAAGGATGTTGCCTTCCTTGTATAGATTTATGCTCCATTTTTTTCGACAGGAAAAATTTACTATGGAAAATATTTTTGTTTTCCCATATTCGGTTGACCTTGAAACTAATGTGCTAGTGGTTGTATAAGTGGTGGTGTTGATGTGGTTGGTGGGGGCCATGGTGTGGTGGTGGTGGTGGTGGTGGTAATAGCTATGAAGCATACACCAATGTGTCCAATAAGTGTCTCATGGTCATTTTTTAATGATAGGCATAGCCAAAAAGTGATGAACACAGCAAAATGAGTATCGAACACATGTCCAAAATTAAACTTTTCTATTTTTAATCATGGACAAGGGAAAAAGAGTATCAGACACGTGTTTGAGAGTATCCATGCAATGTCAGTGTCTGACATGGACACGTCACCATTTTAGAAGTGTTTGTACATGAGCCACTTGTACTTTCATGCATTTGCAATTATTTTACCATCTTTCCACTTTTTTGATATTTCCCCAAAACATTTTCAGCTGAAACAAATGGAACATTAATAGTATAATCATAACAAAATTTTGAGGGGTTTTATATGATGGCCTATATTTGTATGAAGCAGCAGATGCAATGAGAATAAGTTATAAAGAACTTGTGCAATTTTTATATTTTTTTATTAGTAAACTGAGTGTAGATTAAAAAAGGTGCCAAGGGAGTGGCAAATGACTATCAAACACACACACCAGCCAAATGTAAAACCTTTTAAATAACCCGGTTTTGGGATTAGTCATGTTATGATCTTTTCAATGTCATATTAATGCTTCTACAGAAGGAATTGACATCTGGGCTAAATTCATGTCATCTTTCAGGAACTAATTGAAAAACTTAACAAAGGTGAGCTACCAAAGAATGACTACCCACTTATGAATGACCCAAGTCCAACTTTCCATGGGTCTTCCCGGGCTACGTCAGCACAAATTAGTCAAGCTCCTGCTGCTCATTCAATGAGACAACGACGGGCAACATGGGCTCGGCCTCGAGGCTCTGACGATGGATATTCAAGGTATCTTTGTGGCTGCTTTTTTGGATATTCTCTCCCGATTTTGATTACACTATTTGTTTACGAATAAATCTCTTTATATAGTACCTTTTTTCCCCCTCTTTTGCAGCCCGCTCCCCTTTTTTTTTTGGCTGCAGACAAAAAGCTATTATTGATTTCTTTTCCTTTTGCAGGCATTATTTCCATGATAATATCATTCTAGAATGTTAATAGTCTATTACTTGCTTGCTTGTAGTGATTCCATTCTAAGGCATGCATCTAGTGATTTCAAGAAAATGGGCCAACGTATTTTTGTATTTATTGTTGGTGGAGCAACTCGATCTGAGGTATGAATATATGTTGTTTCTTTTTCTTTTTAAATTCAGTACTGCTGCTCCTTTCTGGCATCTATTTGTTCTTATGAAATTGACTTTCTTTTCAGCTACGAGTTTGTCACAAGCTGACAACAAAGCTTAAGAGGGAAATTATTTTAGGGTCATCCAGTCTTGATGATCCTCCACAATTTATTACGGTATGTAGCTTCAACTTCTAGTTTAGATGGTCTTGAATGGAAATTCAAATTATTTGGTACTTGGTCATGATGAGAGATGTAAAAATAGATTAATGAATTCTACACTGCATTTTCCTGAAAAATAATAGTTCATGCAATCAAATTTCAACCACCCCCTCTCACATCTCAAGTGCCGAGGTACTAAATGATTTTTTTCTGAACTTCATCCTAAGTTATTATAATTAATTACTCTAATGTAGGCTGAAATTTTTATGACATTGGAATACGTATTCAAAAGTTGTATATATTGCGTATTGTATAATTTAGGAAATATGGCATGGAATTTCTCTCTCTTATCTAAGTGAGGCTGGAAAAGTTTCGTTACTAGCACATGTGAGTTCCTTATTTTTCAATCATTTGTAAAAATTAGAGGATCCAAGTATCTAAATTGGGTACAAATGTCGGACACATATCCTACACCCTTACCCTTGTCATATCCCATGGACATGGTATTTATCTAAAATGCTTTCTGGATCTCTGTATTTATATGTCCAATTTTAATATGAAGATAATGATTATTTTAACTAAGCATTGATACCATACTAGATTACAGAAACATCTATAAATTTTCATAATTGTGAGCAATTATAGGACATTATGTTGATTTTGTGATAACTAGGTTCAATTGTATAAAATTGTTTGGAGGATGCTAGAATTGTGATAGTAACCTAAATAAAATATGTAATAGTAATTGTGGTAATGACATATAGATGTGGGTTTGCAGAAACTGAAGTTGATGACGGCATACGAACTCTCACTGGATGATCTTCAGATTTAAAAAGACATTGGTGAAGCAAGAAGCTGGAAACACAATTTTTTCACAGGCTGGTTTTTCAGTTTGTAATCATAGATCGATATGTATCTTCATTGATTCCATTTTTTTAACAGTGATGTAAAATGTCTGGTATGAATATTACAAGCTGAACAATAGAGTTTCTAGCATGGGTTAGGAGGCAGGGTTGGGTCTGTTAAGATACGGTGCTGTTGATAGGCCTGTGCTTTGTATTGTAATTAATGGGGGGTAAGGTCTTTTTAGCGAATTTTCTTTTTCCTTTTTCTTTTAGTTTTTTTTTTTTTCCTTGGAAGTGACCACTACCTTTCATGGTGTGTATATGACAATATTTGACTGATTAAAAGACTAGAAAACCCAGCATTTCGCCAAGAATGTTTAGTGTTTTTTCTCTTATTTACTTGATCAAAAATGGAGTGTCTTAATATTTGCTATCGTGTTAATATTTTCTATCTCTATACAGGTGCTGATTCTACAGTATGCTAGTGATATTTTCAGAGAATTATCTTATGAAAACAATACTGAAAATGGTATATGAGCTGATGTAACTCAGACTAATGAAGAATTGTGTGAAAAATTCTTCCAAAAACACATAAATGGTTGATAGACAGCTGAATTATAAGATTTTCTTCAACAAGTGGATAATGATTTTGGAAAGGAAAGATATTAATAGATATGCAGTTCTCACATTTCATTTCAAAAAACATAAATGGTTGATAGGCAGGTGAATTATAAGATTTTCTTCAACTAGAGAATGATTTTGGAAAGGAAAAATATTAATAGATATGCAATTCTCACATTTCATTTCAAATTCTTGTAAACCCTATGAACGAAACTGAATTTCATAAGCAAGTACATAAATAAATAATCTACACAGCCAAAAAAGACTAAAATGGCACGTGTCTTCAGCCCAAAATAAAGATCAACAACTCCTCTTACAAATTGTAAACTACTTGACACATTTATCATATATGATGGAGCCAAAAATAATTAAATGCGAAGTTCCTTTTTCTTCTCATTGAGTAGGGTTTCTGCTTTCCGCTTCTTGATTTCACCAACCAGCCTCTTAACATAAGCAATGTATCCATCAACATCAAATTTCCTTTTACAGCCAGCGTAGTTCATGTATCGTATTTTCCCAAAAACTGGTCGTTCTTGCCAACCCTGCAAAGCCATTCAAGGACACAACTCGATGCAATCATTGAGAGTTCTACAAGGATTTAAAGAGTTGGTTATTATTTTCTTAAAAAAAAAATCATCTAGACCTGATCATGCACACCACATATCGACCACATGCAACCAACATATCCATTTGGATCTCTTCCATCTATTTCATACTGTATGCAAAGTTCATATTAGCAATGAAACGTGGCGGAAATTCAATCATAGCTACATGCACACAGCAAAGAAATGCTTAATTTACCTTATCATTTAGATATATTGATATTGCAAGAGCATCTTCAGGCCCACTTGTCCATTCAAGAATCTTTTTTGCCCAGTACATCCTGATTACAGTTCTTGACCTCATTAGATTAACAGATTAAAATTGACAAATAATAATAATAATAATAATTGGAAAGCAAGCAGAAGAATAAATTTCCAATCTACTTCAGAGATCAGAAAACCAACTCCACATGAATCATTGACTTTGTTTATTATTCAATAGTTGATGATGATGCATCAAGATTTTATTTTTAACTTGATCGCTGAGACATGGTCCTTCCAGATGAAAAGTCACAAAGACTTGTAAATGAAGTGTGATCGAGTTTTCTCATGAAGTATTTAGAGATAGGAGTTCTATTAGTTGTGTCTACCATTCCATATCTGTGTAAAGTGCAACAACTTGATTTCCACAATCCTTCATCAGCGGCAGCTCAAAGTGAAAACCAAACTACGTAATTAAGCCTAATATATCCTCGTTTCAACATCCTATCATACAAAGGCATTTCCAACAAGAACCGATTATTTTGACAAAAACCACTGTCAAATATATGACATTTGTGGCAATTCAAGATTCAAAGAAGCTCAGATATCATGCAGTAGAAACACTCAGTTGACAAATTATTTCAATAAGCACATCCTGATTGTGTTGGAGAATTATTATTTTTTATTTTTGTGTGTGAGTGAAATGGACAATAGTTCTTTACTAGGGAAAAAAAAGATCGAGCGAGTGAAGGCTGCATTGATTCTAATTCTTAAATACACAAGAATCTGAATTAAGAAGTAAGGCATTTCCAACAAGAACCGATTATTTTGACAAAAACCACTGTCAAATATATGACATTTGTGGCAATTCAAGATTCAAAGAAGCTCAGATATCATGCAGTAGAAACACTCAGTTGACAAATTATTTCAATAAGCACATCCTGATTGTGTTGGAGAATTATTATTTTTTATTTTTGTGTGTGTGTGAAATGGACAATAGTTCTTTACTAGGGAAAAAAAAGATTGAGCGAGTGAAGGTTGCATTGATTCTAATTCTTAAATACACAAGAATCTGAATTAAGAAGTATCTGAACAAGACAGTTGATGAAGATATAATTCCAAGAATATCAACATGCAACTCAATATATATATATATATATATGAAAGGAAAATTAGGAGGCATAGAGAAAAAACTTGCCGCATAAAACCATGCATCTTTCCACCATAAACCATCTCCAACTGAGAAGCATTCCAGAGCTGAAAATTGCAGCAAGATACACTTTATAATTGTATAGCAGCATCGACAAACTACTATAAAGGTTCCATAGCAAACTACGCAGAAAAAGTTAATCAGCTGGCGTACACTGGATCCACTAATTTTCAATCAACAGGAATTCCTAGCGACGTAATTATTAAAGAATGACAATCAGGAAAACTACACGTCATTACACTTTTTTAAACATATTTTTCAAGAACATATTTAGCTTACAGGATCAGCAGTTTGCGCCTTCTCCAATTGCTCCCTCCTACAAATTCAATTGTCCCATATAACGTCAGTCAGCATATGGAATCAACACAGTGACATAGACTAATCAAATACATGCTGGCTACTGAAATTGAAGCAATTCTACTCACGTGTAAATGTGTTCTCGTTTATCAGGGGCATGGACCAACAATGTTTTACGTGCCCATTCCCATGCTCCCTGTAAAGAATCATACTGAGGCTGGTAGAAGCAGAAGTTATCAGCAAGTTCTCTGCGCACAATCAACTCCTCCAAGAATGCATCAACTGCCTTCACAATAGTAGTTCACAAGGACAAGTAAAGAAATGTGCAAGATCTATTAAGCCATTGGTAACACACAAGATACAGCTACCTAGGGAAGCCAAATATAGTTAACACCTTATCAGGGTATTTCAACTTCCAATAAACACATTTACTCCCTTTTTTAAAAAATAAATAAATAAATAAATAATAAAGTAGTAATTAAAAAAAAATTATACAGATCAAGTATTGAAAATCAACAAGTACTTCAACCAAAAAGGAGAAGCTGCACCACGAAACCCAATCTTTGAGACTACAAACCTGAGGACAAAGCTTCCTGACATTACGTGCCTCTATGGCACACCGCTGTGCTGATATCTGCCCAAAATGCAAATATGGAGAGAGACCAGAGAGCGCTTTAGGTTTCAATGGGTTATTCCTGTCTGTGGAGTAGTTCTTTAATCTCTTTGTCAAGAACCCACTTTTACTTCCCATCAAGACTTCCATTGCAGCATTTTCACCTGGTTCACACCATTCAAGTTCAGGAACTTCTGCTCCTTTCCTAATCATATCAAATTGAACTACTGACATTACAGTGACATCGAACTCTCAATTGAAGCAAAAAAATTAAAATTCAAACCATCAAATTGAATTAAGATCTAACCTTACAACCTCTGTAATGAGGTTCTCCCAATCAACAAAACAATTCGTGGCAGCCCACTTTTTAATCGGAGGTCCCATTTTAGGAAAATCAATCAGATACTCAGGAAGCAATTTATTAATCTTACCCCTTAATGTCTTAGCACTGTATTCCAATTTCTCTGATGCCACCCAAACCGGTACTACATTGTGGGCATCAACTTCATGAATTGACACTGAATCACTCACCCTCTTGCAGATTTCATCTTTCCAACTTTGAACTTCCCGTAATGGTGAGAAGTCCGTGACCAGAAGTGAAGCACCACATTCTTCAAGAAAAGTGGGAATTGTCTCTATAGCTTCTCCCTAAATAAACCAATCCCCAAAACAATAAGCTCCAAAATTTAATAATTAGTTTATCCACAAAAGGTATATTAATAATAATATAATTACGTGCCCATGGATTTTCCCTTATTTTGAGATCCAAAAAGCTTAAGGCTGCACATGGCTGCCAAGAGAATGATAGGGTAAACACTGACACTTGTACTAGTCCTTTTCTAGCCAAAAGATAGAAAATGTTAACCTCAATCAGCTAAATTGTTGTTTCAAATATAGTTTATTTGGGGTGTTGTTCTCTCAAGCCATAACGAGTACAACTTTGAGTGCAATCCAAATTTCTAATTTGCTTTGTTTTCCTTCACTTTCTCAAAAACCAAAAACAGCTTCACATTTAACATTTCATCCCATCATCCAATTTCCTTAGTTTCCTCATGCAGGGGCAACACTACTCTTTAAGGAAGGTATGGAATTGAGTACATAAATATAATATATATATATATATATATGTGTGTGTGAAAAATGCTTCAGAGCTCTAAGTGACCACCCCCAAGCCACCCCTAATGACATGAAATGGATCATGTGAAGGGGTGGACCCACACTTCTCTCTTTTATCTCTTTGTCTTCTCTCCTCTCTTCCACCTCATTAGAGGTCAAAATGGGGATTATGTATTAGGAGATGTAGCACCACTCTATATAAATATATGTATACTTTTAAAATTATTCAATTTTTATACTTTTAACACTCTAGCCCACACCATTGAACACCCAGTTGGCACACTCCACTTTGTGTAAAAAAATCAATTACAGAACCAAATGTGAGATCAACCAATAAATGATTGTTTAGTTACATTATTACATTAAAAATGATATATTAGGCCTAGATTAATGTTAGTTAGCACTGTAAATAGAGAGATACGGATCTACTTAATTTAACTAATGAAATGGCCTTTGATAGGCTGCGTGCAGAAAAAAGATTCATGTAGCCGACCCCATTTGATGGGACTTAAGATCCAATTTGATGGGATTTAAGTCTTGGTTTGGTTTGGTTTGTTGAACAATGGTATCACCTATGTTACAATTCTCTTTGGTCATGATTTTAGAAGTCTAAATTAGTAAAAAATTGTAAAGTTTAAGTTTTTAAATAGCTACCATCATAAAAATTATTAAATTATTGTAGAAAGATTCAACTTTAATATATGATCGTACCTGAAAAAGAAAGAATGGAATATGAAGAGTGTCTTGAATATCGCGATGAAGTTGTTGAAGACCTCTCAACATGAACCCTAATTGTCTCGCCTTTGCACCCAAAAACTCATCAAACAGATTAAAACCCACAGCTACAGGGACACTGGCCTTGTTCGCTTGATCAACAGCGTGGATCAGTGCCCAGTTGTCTCTCAACCGTTGATCTCTGAACATCCAGTACACCACAGGTCCCATCTCTCGATCCGACGGTCTTGATCCTTCCTTCAGAACCCTAACCCTGCCCGATTGGACCGAAGATGGGTACGCCATTGATGAGAAGACTCTAACGAGACTAACGTGCGCAGGGAGTGAAGCGGAGCGTGATCGGAGGAGGCTAATGTGAGCCAGGGGTGTGAAGATTAGCTGCTAGGTTGAAGGGGCTTTGGGTTCGTTAAGGATTTGTGAAGAGAAAGAAAAAAAAGGGAGGGAAATTAATCGGTTAAGGTTGTGGTTTCAAAATTGAACACGTCGACGGCTCAGATTGATTGGTTACAGTTTACTTGTTTTTGATGATGGGCCTAGTGGGCCAAGCCCATATTTTAGATTTGAGCCCAATTCGGCTGTTGGGAAACTTACCTTGGGCATTCTTTCAAGGCTTCAAACAACATGGCCTAGTAAAATTGTTTTAATGGGCCCAGTGGGAAATGGGGAATTGAACCATATAATATATATATTTTTTTCTTCTTTTTTTTGTTATATTTGGCAGTTAGGAAGCGCCAGAGTGAAAATATGAGAAAAGTATATTATATGTACATCGATACAACAAAATGTTTAAAATATATATATATGTGGATATTGCTAGAGTATAGTCATAAAATTAAATAATAATTTGTTGTAGTGCATGAATCAAATGCAAAAAATAAATTAAGTAATAATTAGAAAAACAAAGAACAAGAGAAGAAATTGATATGAAGATGGGTGCTCCAAGAAAGAGATGGTTGTTGAAAAATACAGAAAAGAAGATAGATAGACAGTTGGAAGAAGATAAATAAATTACATCTGCATATCCGTATAATATTGAATAAGTACCCAGCACTCGTATGACTATATTTTTGAAATACTCAGGCTTCTTTTGGGAAGTGAGTTGGCTTTTTGACTTTTTGATTTTTTTGGCTATTTTAGCCTGGGGCTAAAAAGCTTGGTTGGGGAAGTGGGTTGACTTTTTTGGTTTTTTTATAAGAGAAATAATGTAATGATTATGAGTTGAATGTAATATTTTGTCTAAGTTAAAAAATCTATTTTGTTTTTTGTGACTATTTTAATCCCAAATCCACCCAAACGATCTTCCCAAACGAAGCCTCAAACTTCATAGATGAAAAGCCTTGACAAGATGCAAACACTTTGGAGGATTCCGGCCGAATAGACCAGTTGGTTGATTCTCGGAGACTTGTATTGTATTTTTTTTATTTGTTGTATGAAGGAGTTCCATAGATAAATAGCCTATGGATTGATAGTGTATGCTGGCTGATCTCTTTCAAATTACAAACATGAGGACCTTGCCCAAGTCATTTGGCTTTGGCATTGCAGCATATATGAATTTGTTAACTTAAAAAAATGTCGATGCTTATGACTTATGATGAGGACAAAGGGCAAGGTCCTAAAATGTTTCATAGATGAAAATATTCGTACCTATATTCATGAACATTTTGTCTTTATCTATACATTTTGTGTCCGATATTTTACTTTTTCAAACTAGAAATCCATAAGCTATTCACTTTATAGATGATTCTGCAACAAAAAGAAAGTATAGAACAAAGCCCAAAGTGACTAGCTATATAGGAACACTTTCAAAGTGACCAATAAAAACACAGGCCACTGTTTTCAGGGTCGTATCAGCTTTTGGGGGGACTTTGGATCCTATGTTGTTACAGTATAGAGGAAATATAATATACCTCCACCTCCATACATGCATTTTTACACACACTCCCTTTCCAAAAGTTATTCTTTTGTTGAAGTAGCTTTTAAAACACACCTTCTGTCTGTGCCTACCATGGTTAGCAAAATCCATCCTACGACTCCAGTCTAGTCAAATGATCTGGATAGCATTTTAAATTCTTTAGAAGTTTATAGTGACTATTATCCTAATTATAAAATTGTGTAAAATTACACTACGATCTTGATCTTATCCAAAAAAAATTCTCATTATTTATTTCTAATAAAGGGTAAGTTTGGACCAAACTCTTGAAATAACCCATAACAATATTCCAAGTCTTGGGTGTATAAGCATAAAAACTCATTTAATCACAGTCATCTTTTTCCTTTAATATTAGTTCTTCTACAAATAAAGTGGTAAAATTGTAGGACATAAATTTGTTTTTAAAAGAAGACCCACCACATATTAGATCCGTTAAACAAGAGGAGAAACCCAAAATTAGATTTGCATAGACAGTTTGAGGTGTTGGCCAAATTTTCAGAGAGTTACTCTAATAGTGAGGTTGAAAAGAAGGTAGGAGATGTTTACAAAGGTTGATATTTGAAAAAAGATATGGGAGATAAAACATGTACGAAAAAAGATTTGAGTGAGTCTGCAAAGTCCAATTCATGTATATGAAGAAAGAGTCGGATAGGCCAGCAAAATCCAATATTTCTATTTCGTCAGGGTGTCGAGAGCAAAGTAAAATCCAAAGAGGTGTTTTGCAAAAGGGTGAAATTTCTAAGCTTGGGTTACCAATTGTAGAGATGAAAGTGCACCGAGGAGTAATAAGTGGGGAAATTACAACAACAAAAAATGAAACCTTGAAGATAGTTCAAAATGAAAAATCAATGATTTCAAAGTGAAAGTATTTCGGAGAACTTAAACAATTTTTGGATGGAAGACACTACCTGTGTGTTGGATGTAGTAAGAGTTTAAGCTTTATTTTGGGTGTTGTGTTTATGTTCATTGGCTTCTTGTCAACCAAGTACTGTATCAAATTGAATTTAAGTCTTTTGGCTTTTCCAATTTGATATTTTTTATATGTGTATATCTCCAAACATCTCCTCTAATTTATATGAATATGAAAGATGCATTATATTAAATTCCTTATTAGGGATTTTTTAATTATTTTGAAATTATTTAACATACATTATCATTGTAAATAATTTATCATTTTATTTTATATTAAAAGTAAAATTTTACGCTTCTCGATTATACGTTCTGATTCACAATCCCACCAGTCATGCTTAAGATTCTGATTTTAACAATATTGGTGTTTCAAAATAGTAGCTAACATTTTGGCATCCTAACACACCCCAAGATATATATATATATGTAGTGAAGAATTCTATTAGACACATCTCATATCATATGCACTCTTAGTTATGACATTATTTTGAGATATTTGGTTACGACTTTTTTTTTAGTTATGATTCAAAAAGTATAGAATTGTACTATTTTCTTCTATAATTACATTGTGCATAATATTTCCCATATATAGTTGACTACGAATTTTGATTATATTTGAATGTATGAAATAAACTAAAGCGGTTTTGAATTTGAAGTTGGAAAAGTTGTGTGACCATGTGATCATCTAGAGCATCTTATCTTGCCGTAGTCCTTAAGGATCAATGATGTTTTTAATTAGTTGAATTGAAGTCTCAACAAGAAGGCCTCATCTATAATAGTTGAATCTAAAAAGATTATACAAAACAATGGCAAAAGGAAACAAATAACCAGATATACATAACCAAACTACAGCTAGCTTTTCACTAGAACTACAGACAATCTACTGGCGAATATGGCTTTTTGTTTGCAGCAAAGGAGTTTTTTTTTTTTTTTTTTTTGTTGAAAAGACAAGATGATTGATCGGGTAGTTGAACAATCAAATGATTTCATTTGGTAATGGAAGTGTCTAAATTCATAGTGAATGACTGAAAGTTTTTCATGCTGCTCATATATACCTACCTAGCTATATCGTTAGCAAGGAAATTAATAAAAGCTTTCAGTTGTTGTTTGAGTCAAAAGTGGGGTTTTAGAGAGGACAATAAACTCATTCAAGAATGTTGTAAACGCAAATCCTATCTAATTAAACTCATTAAAAAAATTTCTAGTACAAACTTGATCATGAGTACCAAAAGTCATTTCCCTTTTGTCCCTTTTCCTAAATGCACAAGCAACCATTATAAGCTCATGACTCTGAACAAGGGTCTTGTGCTTCATTTGTTTCCCCTAGAAGAAAAAAAAAAAATATATATATATATATATATATATATAAAAGAAAGAAAAAAAAAAACCAAAAAATTGGATCGTGTGAGACAGAATGAATCCAATCTATTCCATTTATGATGCATTATTATTATTATTATTATTATTATTTTTGTAAATTAGACTTGAGAATGAATATTACGATTAAATGATCCTTCTCTTCCATATTTATTTTAGTGAATCAAATACATACTCTGCACGTTACTATTGTACCTGGATGATATTGGATTTTGTTTCACACCCTCTCTCATTCATACGGTGCTCAATTGATAATACCTATTGTGAGTAGGCCAAGGAAATGCGCCCTATCTATCCTAAGTATTTCAGTTCTGTTACTATGTTACATGGTTTTGGATATATTATAATTTAAACCCAAAAACTAGTTGATGAGGTAAATGTGCACTTATATACTGCATACTTATATACTGCATATTACTTTTGTACGTAAACAATACAAAAATTCGTTTCACACTTTCTCCCGCGTATAACGTGCTCACTTGGCAATCTATAAATCTGAAGGGATCTCAAGTATGCCCATATTTGGTGCCTCAATCAATGCATGCATTTTTCTCCATCTCAGACTGCAATAGTAAGAGAGTTGATCATTGGATAAGATTGCATATACGCTTTTCTTTTCTTTTTTTTTTTGAAACAAGATTGCATATGATTTAGACCTTAATGTTGAGCATCGCCTGGGTTCCCAAATGGCCCCCGAACAAAAAATCCAATATTACCTAACTCGATTAACCCATTTCATGATCCGTCCTAACCCGCTTGAGTGTCCATCCCATCCCAACCTATAACAGATTGTTTAGGATTTTAAATAAAGGTTTGTAACCAGAACCCGCTCATAAATCCGGACCATAAGAGCCCACATAGATAAGTCTAATGTTTAGTTTGATTTTTTTTTTTTTTCCTCATGTTTGAAGTTTTTATTTTTTTCTTTTCAATTTTTTTCCCTCCACTTGTAGGCATCATATGTTATTTGATTATTTTTTTATTATATGAGATATAAAAAGGTAAAAAAAGAAATCAAAATACTTGAATTATGTTGGCAAAGTAAACAAGAAAAATGATTAATGAAAATATTTAAATATATTAATGAAAAATGTGTAGAACTCAATAATATAAGTGTAATAAAAAATGTGTAGTCTGGTTCGATTTGATTTTGGCCTGTAAAATTTGGACATGAGTGGGACATGATTTTAATTTTTTAAATAGACCCGACTCGTAC